AAAAAAAAAAAAAAAAAAAAAAAAAAAAAAAAAAAAAAAAAAAAAAAAAAAAAAAAAAAAAAAAAAAAAAAAAATGATAAAAAAAAATGATAGAATAATTACATTTCATTTTCACTTTCTGTAGTTCCACCATAATCACGCCTTAAAGGTAAATCTGGTAAATCGTTTATATCATCAGAATAATTATTAAAATCAGGAAAAGCCTCATAAGTGCTACCATCATCACCCATATTAATCCCTATATTGCTTCCATTTGTTGACATGGTTAATCCACTAATCGTTCTTGCGTCGTCGTCAGTTTGTGCAGAATCAGTATATTCAGGATCGTAATATTCATAATTGTTATATGAGGTACTTAAATAAGATGAATTAGTAAAAGATTTGGATTGTGTACTAAAACTTTCCTCGTCATCTTCAATATTAGTAGCTAGTGGACTATTTATTCTATTTTGATAATTTGAAAAATCAACTCCACGAGAGATTATACCATGAGGAACGGAATAACTTCGACGATGAACACCATAATCTCTTTGTGTGTAATCAGGTAAACTTGATCGATTTTGTTCCGAAATCATTTTTAACCAGTAATTTTCAAACACTTGGTCTGAAATAATAGTTAGAAATAAAATAAATAAATTAAAAAGATTAAAAGAAGAAATATTAAATAAAAACCGAATATTATATAACACGCTATCTGATTCTACCTAGTCCTAACGCATGCGAATGACGAGCACCCACAGAATTTAATGCTTGACTTACTCCGGCAGTCAAGGAATTTGTTGAAACTCCATGAACCAATTGTCTCAATAATCCATCATGCCTCGAAGCGGAACCATTTAAAAGTGGTGTCGAGGGAAGAACAACCGGTTCGGCCAGTGTATGTCTACGAGGAATGCTCGTAGCAACTGACCTTTGATGATTAAATGGTAAATATTGTCTATTAAATTCGCCTGAACCATTAGATGCGCTAAATTCGTCAGGTAAGACAGGAAGTACAGCACGTAACGGATCTATCATAATGCTGCTACTTCTGACAGTTCCACTCGATAAATTATTAGGACTTTGAGAATAACCTTCAGAGTTGTTTCGATTAGATGTAATAAAATAAACACCTACAAACGTTGACATACATCCAATAAAAAAACCAGTGAATTTCCAAAAATTCATATCTGCAAAATCCTTATATAATACAGCACTTCCTATGATTGCAGAGATGGTGAAAAGGACAAATTGAGTTGGAATGACCTCCTATAACATGAAAATTTTAATTTAATAGAAATTAAATTGAAATTAAATATATATATTATATGTATATATATTTTTCCTTAAATTTCAAAATTTATTATTTACCGTTGAATCAAACTGTTTTAAAGCTTTGTTAAGATATTTAATTTGAAGCACTGCTGTACTCATTAAAATTATCACTAAGAGGTAAGTTATGGGATATGTAAACATTGCAACGAATGTCATTGTCAACATAGATGAAATGGATTTTGTCGCCAATACAGTATATCCACCTAAAATGTACACACGAGCATATTAGAATTTTCTTTTTGAAACAAATTGTGATGGACATTGATTAAATAAAATTACCGAAAATTGCGACTAAAGATAAGTCAACAAAGCACGTCTTGTGACCAATCCGATCCGACAAATACATTAGAAAGGTCGCCAATGATGCAGTGATGATGAAATAGATTATAAATGGTGTCTGTTTAATAGCATTCCATATGGCTTCTGGATCAAGCTGTAGTTTACAAGAAAAGTATTAGATAAAGAAATTCTAGTCGAATTACGGAGAATAAAATGTCCACATATATAAATACTTTTGCTTCATCAGATTTTGAATTAACCACCACCACAACCGCTCCGATTATCGCAATAAGAACTCCTAATAAATCCTGCTTACGAAATCTCTCTTTCAACATGATCGGAGCCAGAATAACATTAGAGATCAAAGCAACTGTTCCTAAAGGGGCTACTACCGAAGCAGGCGCGAATGCATAAGCCATAAAATTTCCCAATTCACCTTGATAGAAAAATGGGTTTAATCATTGATAAATAAAATGAGTACACATCATACGAAATAAAATTTCATTTACCAATGATCATTAAAATTATTCCGGTCCACCATGCTTTTGAACGAAGGTAGTTTGTTTCACTATACTGTTCTGGATCTAATAATACTTCATAACCATCGTCATTTTGAGTATGTAAACTACGTGAAGATAAATCTGAACCAAAAGAAGCAGCTTGTGAATTTGTATTAGAATTATTTATGAATGCTAGTTGGAGCCTTTGCAGCTCGTTATGGGCGTTTTTTTGAAGGTTTAACGCAACAGAAATCAAAATCTAAATTGATAAAGAAATCTGAGACAACAATTTAAAATAATAATGATGATAATAATATTAATAATAATAGGCCATAAAACTTACATTGCCTGTTACGGCGAAAATAACGCCGATGAAAGATTTGACCTCGGGTAAGGTTTTAAGAGGAGGCCACATTTTTTGTTTTTCAGCGAGTTCTTGCAGTGAACATTTGGGGCGTAAGGAATGGCGATATTTAAGAAGGAAAAACAAGGGAAGTTGTTTCAACTTATATTAATGAGGTCCGAACTTTGGATCTCTTATATTCTACGTTGTTTTCAAAACCAATAATTAACGACTCAAGAGTTGATTTCCCCGTTGTCATGTTTATAGGTTCATATAGTGCAGTGTAACGATGAAGTCTCCTAATTTCCCTTCTTGTACATGCGTGACCCGATGGAAAAAAACCCTTCTTTTAATTACCAAATCTTGCCTTTTATGGATGAATTAATAAAAAAAACCACTTAAAAAAAAAAAAAATTTATACGTACACTTATTATTATTATTTATTATTATTATTAGAATGTTTTTCAAAATCTATTTTAATTTTATAATCATTTTACTTTTGGATATATCTTACTTTCAAGGAGGTCATTCTCGTCGCCATGGTCATAGTCATGGCGGTCCAAGTATACCTGGTCTTGTTATTAACACGATTCAAAATAGTATGTTGACAATTTCGTCTATAAAGTATTCTTCATTAGCCGCAAATTAAACTCTCGTTATATTTTAACAGAATATCTTTGGAGGTGTTTAGATTCTGCAATAAACCCATTGTATTTGAGTGAATGTAATAAGGGACCTAGTCAAATTAAATTCCATATAGAATTGCTTCATCAAAGTTATCCAGGATGCGCAAAGCCATTTAAAATATATGGAGCTGGAGGAACTGTGTATATTGATTATTGTATTTGACTGTCGTTGCCTTTACGTTTGATCTTTCAACTTCTCATAACCTTATTTATTTCAAATGTTTATTTAGGTTGTCATGGAATGAGAAAGAAAATTACGTCGTCATGAATTCATCGATCAATGCTGAAAACGCAGAGTGGTGTTATAATGATTCAAATTACGAGGCAATAAATCATTCTTTCAATTGTATCAATTACATCCCATTAATTCTGTCACTAAATATCTTTTTTTTATTTAAATTCTGACTATAGGATTCATTTACTATACACCCAAATGAAAGGCCGAAAGATTGCTTATCAGCTCCTTTTAAAGAAGGAGATCCGGTATTTGTAGTTGATTGTTTAGTTAAAGATGATATTCAAACGTTAGGAATATCTTGGGAGTTACTAAATACGATAGTGATAGTTCCTGAAACAGATGATGATTGAATCACATCTTATAGATTAGAATACTTAGATATATATATATTTTTTTAAAGCTATAGTAGTTTAATAAAAATTTTAAGACAGGTTTCTTAATTTCTTTTATTATTATAAAATATAATATTAATCCCTACATTATTGATTTTGACAAGTAACAAAATAAGAAAGTTACAATTATTTATTTATTAATTCTTAAGAAGACGATGAAGCAATTTGAGCAAGATGTTTTGATAGAGGGCCATGATGTGATAAATATTTCACATAAGCACCATCAGGTTGCAAGAGACCATTCTGTCTCTTTTCAGCATATTCTTCTCGAGATAATTTTGTAAATCCCCATTTCTTGGACACAACGATCTTTTGACGTCCAGGGAACTTGTACTGTGTTTTAAATACAAAATAAATTAATACCGATTTAATTCTTCTATTAGTAACTTGTGAAGTTAATATAAATTATAAGATACCTTAGCACGTCTAAGAGCCTCAACTACAGTTGGCTTGTTATTATCTTTGGTGCGAACAGAAAAGATGATCTGACCGATATCAATACGAGCAACGGTTCCCGTGGGTTTACCAAAAGCTCCTCGCATACCAGTTTGCAATCTATAATTAATTTAGTTAATTAAAATCAATTGATACTGGTTTAACAAATAAATATAAAAAAAAAATTTACCTATCAGCACCGGCACATGACAACATTTTGTTGATGCGAATAACATGGAAAGGATGAACACGAACTCTTAAATGGAAAGAGTCTTTACCGGCTAATTTAGTAATATACTTGTTAGCACAGATACGTCCAGCTTCCAATGCTTCACTAGAAAGTTGTTGATATTCGTCAGAAAGCAAATGAATACAGAGAGGAAATTCGTCTACATTTGCCTTCTTTCGGCCCAAATCAAAAATTCTAATTTTTGGATCTAATTATTTTTTTTTTTTAAAAAAAAAAAAAAATACATTTTTATTCAATTACATATAAATCTTAAATTTGATTGTATTTTATTCTTACCGGGAACACCACGGCAGAAACGACTCTTGGGATAAGGTTTATTTTTACAGTATCTGTAACAGCGAGCTGGACGACGACCCATTTCTTAGGCTTTTTTTTTTTTTTTTTGGTGAGTTTTTTGACCAATAAAAATAAATTTTAACTTTTTTTTAAAAAAAAAAATAAATTTTTTTTTGCCCCCGTATTTATATTTTTTTTTAATATATTACAAATCATTTTCATAGAAGTCGAATGAACATTCTGACTAATCAATAACAGACCTCTTTAATTCTGGGCAACGTTAGGGACAATAGTTTTACAAAATATCAGGTTACGTAAATTATGTAAATTATAAAAATAGATTAGATGTGATTGCATTCTGGGGTCAAAGGTGTTACTTTGAAAAGATTGGAAAATTCTGTTCGAAAAATCGTCGGATGAGAATCAATATTGGGACATAAAAATGAGCACGGCTAGTAATGCTCCAGGTGCTCGATCGCCAAATGTGAATGGCGATTCAAGACGGATCCCTAGTTTAAGTGATTCGCGTTTAAACGATTATTTACCAACATCATTGCACCTTGAAAATCTTGCAAACACAGTAACTAGCACAATGACAACTACTGTCTCAACTACTGCATCAATGCTTTTCTCTCCTTTAACAACTCGTGCTGTTAAAGGAGACACTGCTTATATTTTATCCGAGCTTGCACCTCAATTAATGGATCAGCGTCGCTTACAACAATTTATAAGTAATGGAAACTCTCGTCATGCAAAAGAAAACTCAAAAAAAAATAGTTTCTGCAGAAGACATTTCTACAAGCACAACTTCTCCAATACCCGATGATATTTTATTAGACTCAGAAATACCAGAATCTAAAGCTCCATTATCATTATTTCAAGGTTACAAGGCAACTTGTCAAGACGTTGAAACACATAAAAAATCTAAAAGAAAATCAAAGTTTCATAAACGAAAAGTAAGAGGTCTTTTAACTGACACTTTTGATGCAACGTCAGATACAGGTAGCAAAATTACTTTTAATAAAAAGAAAAACTATTGACATTATTTTTTGTTACATAGACTTATTAAAGTCTGATCTTTTAATAAGTATTTTATATTTACTATCCATAAATAGCGTCGGCAGATAGTGATTATAAACCTCTTAATCAACTTATTGCGGATCGTGATAGAGTTGTTAGAGAGAATAACAAAATACAAATGCAAGAGGTAATATTTTAAGACGAGTGATGATAAATAAGATTCATTACATTTCGAGAAATTTAATTATAATAATTTATCTTGAATTTAGTCGCGAACAAAAGCCGATATTAAAAAAACTGAAAGTGAAATTGCAGAATTGACTACTAGAAAGTTAAATTTGGAAAACAATTTGGCTACATACAACAAACGACAGGTCGAATTATCTAGCCAATGTAAATGTTATATATATGTGTGTATCTTTCTTTTGTAATATATTAACGCAATTGTAATTTAGTGGAAGATCTAAACGAAAAGATTGCCAATTTTAATACTGAAATTAGTTATAATGAAAGACGAACACGTACAAAAGGTTTAAATTTTTATTATTTTTATTGGTCTTTTGAAAAAGTTATTAATTTTAGTCTAAAATATAGGGAAAGGTGCTGCAAAACGTAGCTATGCGCCCGGAACATGTTTTAAGGTATTTATTATTAATTATTAGATATGTAATTCGGTATTTTCTCAACTTCTTACAATTTTATAGGTTTTAGAAGGTCACGAGGATATGATTACATGTATTGACTTTGATAAGCCTTATGGAACACTTGTCACGGCTTCTTTAGATAATACATTGAGAGCCTGGGATCTGAATAATTATCGCTGCTTTGGAATTTTAGATGGACACAAAGGCAATAATTTAATATGAATATAAAGAAAAAGTTAAAACAAAATTATTGATTTCTTACCTGTGTACTTTTTTTTATATAGATTTAGTTAAATGTTTACAAATAGATGGATCCCGTTTAGTGACTGGTTCACGCGATAAAACAATTCGTCAATGGGATTTATCCAAGTTGGTTTCTCATCCAGAATCTGTCACCAATTTATCAGAATTAAGTTTCGCTTCAGCTTTAACACCAGAGGCAAATGGATTGGCAAATGTTGGTGATAATTGTTGGATGGCTTCGTTGGAAGGACACAGTGGATCAATTACTTGTCTGCATTTTGAAAATAATCATATTGTGAGTTTATGAAAATCTATGTGTGCTCTTGATAACTAAATATGTATATACTTATTTACCTTTTATGAAAGGTATCCGGATCTTCAGATAAGACTATGAAACATTGGGATATGGAAACAGGACAATGTATTTTAACTCTGGACATTTTGTGGGCCATGTCTTGCTCTAATGCTGAGCGTAGGCAAGCTGGACTTTTATTTGATAGTTTATTTGGTGGTGGTGATTTTATAGGAGCTTTGCAATTTCGAGATGTTGGATTAGCAAGTGGAACCGAAGATGGTGCAATACGAATGTGGGATTGTATCCTTTGCAAAATCATTGCATTTTATATTTAAATATAATCTTTAAGCTATTCTTAACTATTTGATTTTTGACATAATTATAGTAAGGACAGGTCAAGCACACAGAACACTATTGGGGCACACAGGTTAGAAATATGATAAATCTATTTAAGCATAACGAACCAAAGAACAACTTATTAAATATATAATGTTATGGACAGGTCCCATAACAAGTCTTCAGTTTGATGATCTTCATGTTGTAAGCGGAAGCGTTGACAAAGCATAAGGGTATTTAATGGCTTACTGTTTGATATTTATCATTATCATTATTATTATATTTTTGAGATTTATGATCATTTATTAATCATCATCATATAAATCTTAATTTGATAAAGATATGGGATCTAAGAACGGGATCCGTGATTGACGCCTTCTCTTATGATAATAGTATCACAAGTTTACAATTTGATTCCAACAAAATAATCAGTTGTGCCGGTTGCAATGATATAAAGGTTAATTAAATTATCATCATCATCATCATCATTTTAAAAGAATTTTATTTATTAATTTAATGAGTTTTTTTTCTTTTTTTTTATCTTAGATTTATAATCGAAAAAATTTTCAACATTCGAGTTTCGAAGGACATTCACAGCATTCACAATGCATTAAGTTTAAAGACTCAACTTTGTTATCTGGAGGACAAGATAGAGTGGTCAAATTATGGGCTTTATAACTTATTATAATTAAATCAAATTATCAGAAGTTTATTAAGAAATCTCGTTACTCCGGTGAATGAGTTCTCGACTAGAACACGGTTTATTAGAGTATAGACTTTTTATTGGTTTTACATATAAAGATTTTTTTTTTTAAAAAAAAAAAAAAATTCTGGAAATCTTAAAGATGGTTTAGAAAGATTTGTAATAATTAAGTATTTGTAAATTTGAAGTCTGGCATTAATTATACATAAGAAGTAATTAAATAGATTTATTTATCAATATTAAACTTTGAATAAAGAATTTACATCTTTAATGACAAAAATGATCATCGTGTGAGACTTGAGTTATTGTGATCTACCGTAATTATTATATTTAAAACTATTACATGTTTTTACCTAGTCCATAGCTCAAATGATTTTCGGTTTTCCGATAATCTCTTTCTCACTATTTCGACATCTTTCCAATAGCCGCAATTCAAAGCAGCCAAAATTCTTAATGATTTCAAATCTCTATCCCAATTTATAACTTGTAATATAATTTGATCTGTTACCCATTCACAATAAGATACATCTAGAAATAAAAGGTTTATTAATCCTGAAAGAATACGTAATGAATGTGGACCATCTTCACGGCTAAAACATCCAGCAATTGACAAATGTGTTAATAATGGTGATGTTGAAACCAAAAGAAAAGATATAGGAATTCCGGGAATATTATTGTTAAACGCCAAATTTAATTTACGTAGTTTTGGAAGTTTAGAAATGTACATTTTTGTTATTGTCTTTGATGAAGTATCATCTTCGATTGTAAGATCAATTTGCTTACTAAAAGTTCTATAAGATATAACATCCGTTTCTTCATCATCTTGATCAACGAGATCCTCCCAATCTTCAACTAAATTGTTTTCCCAATTTTGTTCTCTGACAGTTTTCCAGAAAGATTTTCTTAAAATTTCGAAATTAATGCTACTGTTCGCAAGATCTAATTCTTCATATTCAGTGTCCATGGTAAATAATGGAAGTATTTCCTCGGTAAGAGGATTGTAGATACTCAAAAATGAAAGAATAAGCTGTTTAAGGTGAGTTGGTATACTTGAAAAATATGGGCATGATATATAAGATTTAACATTTGTAGCCACTATTTTTAGACAACTTTCCAAAAGTGTTGGAATTTCACGCATTGAAAGAGTTGAGTCTATTAAATAAATTCAAAAGTGTTAACAAGGTTCTTAATAATGAATGAAACTATTATATTTTTATTGTAATACAATAGCCTGGAGAAATCTTCTCACCGTCCCAGACTTTTCTTTTTTCTTTTCTTTCCTTAATTAAAAACTCCATTGTTTCAACCTTACCAACTTCTCCCTTCCAGGCTACTAACCAGCTTTTGGGTGGTACTGGACCAGATACTCGTTGTCTCATAATATCTCGGTCTTCTCTTTCTCGTTGATCTCTCTCAGCATGCTCTCGCATTAAATAATTAAACGCTGGTTGTGGCAAGGTAGGCGACAGATCTGCTGAAGCTAAGCCGTTGCTGAATCGAACTTCTTTGCGCAATTTATCAAGTATTGAAGAAACTTGATTTGTTGATTCATTACTTTTATGTTGGATTGTTGGTGAATAATTATTCGAGGAAATAGGCTTCCGAAATCGATGCTTGAGTTTCTGTCGAGAACCTTTAACCATATCAAAAAAAAAAAAATTATTTTTTACTTTTGATTTTACAGTGAAGACCACCTATATATCGTCACCATTTCAATTCAATAATGTTGTAAAAAATCCTCTAACTATAAAAAGTACTATACAGTCAACTCTCTATAAATGCACCCTATATAAATGCACACCCTTTTTAAATGCACTACTTAGCTCAGTCCCGAG